AATGTTAGCCATCTTAATTCAGGTGGATCAATGTGGGAACTTGTTCATTTCATTCAGAACTGAAAATCGAATATCAGTTTGATAAATTTATAGTTGAATACTTCCGTGACTAAGGCGTCGTTCGGATATTCATTTTATCAATGTCCAATGAATGTTTTGCGGAAATTTTTTTTCTTTCCTAAAGAATCAACTTCATGAAGTACCGTTATAGTGTGTGTCTTGCAGAGAGCTGTTTTGATCAGCACCGCTTTTGTTGCTTTTACTATTCGAATTCATTATGATTCGAGTTTTGTTTCCGTTGATACTTTTGATGACTGAGTTCAAGTTTCGATTTTGATATTCTCTGCCACTGCTGTCGATTCGTTCATCCAACAGTGTTGATTGCATCAGCTTCGTATCATCTGAACCTTCCGATACCTGAAATATTTTGATCAGCAAATTGTCTGCTTTTGAACCAATTACATTCACTTGTATCCACTTGTCTCATCATTTTCGTGTGCAGTCAAATACTGAATCTCAATGCAAATCTCGCTCGTCGTTTCATCATTTAAGTTTTTGCTTATTTGAGAGATTTTCGATGAAAGTTTTTTTTTCGTGGAAGTTGTGAGTAAACAAGTTTATTGAATTCGGATGGTTCAAAAATTGATGAGTTCAACCGAGAATACTTTTCAGAATGGACTGGAAGATCAGTTGAATTGAAATCAGTTGAAAAATTCAAACTTGAAGAGTTGAGAATGCCGTTTGCAGTGATTGCTGCTGCTGTTGTTGTTGTTGTTGCTGTTGTTGTTGCTGCAGCTGTAGCTGTTGTGGCGGGGCTTGAGTTTGGTTCGGATTTTGGAGTAAATCATTCGATAGGTTCAAATTATCATCAGCATTATACAGTTTTGCGTAATAAACGCCTTTACCCTTTTCCCATGAACTTGTCTGTAATGAATTTTTAAACGTGATATACTTTCGTCTATTGAGGACTTTTTGCACAGTTCCTACATAACGGCAAGTTCTCATCATGAAAACGTCAGAAACCTATTAGTGAGATTCGCGATCAATGAGTGAAACATCCCGAACGCGTCTGTGTGCCTGAGAATGATGAAAACTCTCACAATCAGTAAAATCAATGCAAATTGCTCGATTTTTTGTCGCTGAATGTCACATATTTGATACCAAACGAAATATTTCGGTTGTCTTCAAATGATATCGCAACACGAAATGGAGCATTATTCATTATTTCATAAAACTGGAATGCAAATCAAATTCGCTTCAATGGAACGACTCATTTCCCAGCATTGTTTCTTCTAATGTATGTTGTGAA